GGGCCCCCCCCCCCCCCAGATTTAACTTAGCGAACGGTTTGTCTTCACTACCTGCAGGTCTGGAAAACATGAAGGAAGATTTCAGCTATGCCTCTAATCCGCCTAGAGCTTAGACCTGAGGCTCAGCTAATGCATTTTAAATTAAGATTTGGGTCAGGATACTTTTTTACTTTTGTTAAGGGCTTTGTTGCTCCTTTGGTTAGTCTTCTTAGGCCGCCTTGTGTAAGCAATTGCGTCTGATCAGGGCAATTATAGTACGTATACATATGTGTGTGTGTGTGTGTGTGTGTGTGTGTGTGTGTGTGTGTGTGTGTGTGTGAGAGTTACAGGTAGACAGGTGTCCGCACATCTGGCCTTGACCGAATAGGCTCCATTTTTGACTTGGTGATTTAAAAGGAGAGGGAACTTGAAAGGTGTTATCTGGCTTTCGTAAATCTCGACATAATTCATAGGTTGCCGAGCCGGTGGATCTTCCATGTTGGGGGTGTGGTGTGTTTCTGTGTGAGAGTGCCGCGTTGGAAGTGGGTATTCAGAACCAAGGTTTCAGCGAGTTTGTGTTTTTACTGACCTCCCCATGCATATGTCAGTGCCCACCCAAATAGGATTAGAGGTGTCCACTTGGCTTACCTTGACCACCCTGGTGGTTATTTACGCTATAACTTGGAGAAATCTCCTACAAGTATCACTGTTTACGTAACACATTTTATGTCCAAGATCCCCTGGAGGAGGAAATGGCACCGGCTCCAAGTGTCCTTGCCAGGGAAATCCCATGGACAGAGGAGCCTGGCGGACTACAGTCCATGGAGTAGCGAGAGAATCGGGCACGACTTAGCGACTAAACAACAACAACAAACTATATAAACGTAAGGCGGTGTTTTGACTCTCAGAGCAAAAAGTGCTTCAGACCTGTTGAACCTGATTCAATAAATGTTGAATATCTAAACGGTAGCATTAGGATTAGATTCATTTTAAGGGGTGGAGGGAAGCAGATAGAATGAAAACAAGTCAAGAGTTAGTTTCGGACCAATCTCTCTCATATGGAATCAGAAAGGGGCAGTGCAGTAGATTTTAAAGTGGGTCTTCCAGTTTTGTTGGTTTTATAGTGACAGTATTCTTCATATGAGGAAATACCTATACATTTGTTAAGTCCTAGGCCAAAGTTGGGGAAAAGAAGAGATGATTTTAACTGCAGATCTCGTTTTTAGCTCAGTTTTCTAACTCTCGTCAGTGGGAGGGTCTGCCCTTTGGTACCTCTATGATACACTCTCCTTTTCTCCTACTGTAGCAGGATGAGAGATGACAGAATCATACATAATTTATTTGAAGTGAGAAAAGTTACTATCATCCCACTTTAGGCCCAGAACATAGTTTGCTCAAGCACCTATTTCTTAATTTCCTTTCCATTCCTATTTTAAGCCATATTCCTTATTCTCAGTTTCCAAGCTTTAGATAAATTTTATTTATCCTATTAGTTTTACTATGCAGATTGTTGCTCTCCTGTTTAAGAATTTCTGTGTCTCTCCAACACCATTTTTCGTTTTTTTAAATTGTTACATGTAACATAAATTTGCCACGTTAGCCTTTTTAAAATGTACAATCCAGGGCATTAAGTACATCCACAGTGTTGTACCACCATTACCCCTATCTCCTAGAAATTTTTCATCATCTCAGACTGCAACTGTGCACGCTTAAACAAATTCCCACACCTTCTCTCCAGTGCCCCCAGCCCCTGGTAACTCTGTTCTACTTTCTGTCCCTATCCAGTTGCCTATTCTTAATAACTCATTATCTAGAAATTTATATATGTCTTTTTGTTTATGGCTTATTTTAGCATGCTGTCAAGGTTCATCCATGTTACAGCATGTGTCCTGTTTTCTTTCCTTTTTCTGTTATATGTATATACCACGTATTGTTTATTCATCTGTTGATGAATGGCTGATGGACATTTGGATGCTTCCATCTTTTGGCTATTGTAAATAACACTGCTGTGAACATTAGTGTGCAGGGATCTCTGTTAGTCCCTGCTCTCAGTTCTTTTGGGTTATACCTGTGAGCAGAATTGCTAGATTATAATGTAATTCTGTGTATAACGTTTTGAGAAACCACCAAGTATTTTCCACAGTGACTGAACAAGTTTGCACCAGCCCCACAGGAGAGTTCCAATTTCTCTACGTATCAACTTTTTAAAATATTTTAATAGCCATCTTTGATGAGTGTGAAGTGGTTTCTGGTGGTTTTGATTTGCATTTCCTTGATAACTGATCATGTTGAACATCTTTTCACAAGCTTATTGACCGTTTGTCTTCTGTGGAGAAATGTCTGTTGGGGTCCTTTGCCCATTTTGAACTGGGTTATTTGTTTTTTTGTTGTTGTTGTGGATTTGTGGGAGTTCTTTATATATTGGAGATCTTAACCCGTTTTCAGATGTATCATTTGCAGATATTTTTTTCCCATTGATTGCCTTTTCATTTTTTTTAATAGTGTCCTTTGACGCACAAGAGTTGGAAAATTTTGCTGAAGTTCAGCTTATGTGTGGTGTTTTTCTTCTGTTGTTTGTGCTTTTGGTGTCATATCCCAGAAGTCATTGCCAAATCCAGTATCATGAATATTCCTCCCTGTTTTCATCAAAAAAATTATTAGTTTTAGCTCTTAAGTTTTAGGTGTGTGATCTATTTGTAATTAACTTTTGTATTTGGTTTAAAGTAAGGTTCCAACTTCATTCTTTTGCATGTGGCTTTCCAGCTTTCCCAATACCATTTATTGGAAAAACTGTCTTTAACCCACTGAATGGCAACCTTCTCTAGTATTTTTTTAAGCACTAAAATAGTCATCACTTCTTAATACATTTAAGTTAGTCGGTATAAGGGACTTACTTAAGCACTTGTTGACTCCTGCGGTCCTCAAAATAATCTTTGGTATTATCTCCATTTTATAAACTAAAAGAAAGTTGAGTCACAAAGAGATATTATTTAAGATATCTTGTTTAAGGTCCCATTGTTGAATGCACTGTTTGGATTGTAAAGTGCTATCCTGTTCTTTCCAGCCTAAGCAGAAGGGCGATGCAGATTCACCTCTGCATTGTATGGCACCTGATATTTTTCAGTAAATGCTGCCTTGAATAAGCTCCGCCTGCAAAACTTTCTGGAGGACAATTCGGCTCACATTCTGATATTCATTTACCTACCTGTAAAATGGGAATAATAACATGTAGCCCAACCAACTGTTCAGAGGATGGAATTATGTATGTGGATTATATACTGTGATAACTTGTTTTTGTAACTGGTATCTCCAAACTGTTACTTCTTAAATATACCCAGATACACTTAAGTGGTCATAAACAGTTGTTATCACTGATTAATGCCAGGTTTAAAAGGATGTATGTTTTCTTTGCCATAAACCTCAGCAATGAGTGATTTTTATCATGAATTCATGAGTGTACAACTTTTATAGATATGTTTATCATATATTCAGTTTTCTTCAAGCAGGTCTTTGTAGTTAGGTGTTATCGCTACTGCCTAAGAAGAATCTCTGAGAATAGCTTCCCTAGTGGCTCAGATGGTAAGGAATCTGCCTGCAATGCAGGAGACCCAGGTTCGATCCCTGGGTTGGGAAGATCCCCTGGAGAAGGGAATGACAGCCCGCTGCAGTATTCTTGCCTGGAGAATCCCATGGACAGAGGAGCCTGGTGGACCACAGTCCATGGGGTCACAGAGAGTCGGACAAGACTGAGCAACAAACAGCAACAACAAAGAAGAATGTCAGTGTGTATTAGGATAGTGAGATACAGTGACTATGGTAATTTGTCCCAATAATACATTATATAATAGTACTAACTATGTATTGTGAAATTGCTGTGGACTGAAGCTACTTTACCATAGTACAGGCCCAACAGTGCATAGGGACCAAGCAGGTAATATTAGGGAGTGATGTAGGTGGCAGAAAGATAACTAGGGCTTGGTCAGGCCCTAGAGATTATATAGAGATTTATTTTTTAAATAAACATTTTTATTGGAGTATAGCAGGCATACAGAAAATATGCACAAACCATTTAGGTGTATAGTTTGATAAGTTTTCGAAATGGTTGCACCTGTTTAACCAATACCCAGTCAGGAATACTAGCATTGCACAACCCCTCACTATCCCCCCAACCCCATCTTCCTGCAGGCTCCTGTCACTCTTGAATTCTGACACTATAAAGATGATATCGTGCAGTATATAATATGTCTGGTTGCCTTTCAAGAGTGCGTAAATAGTTTTAATCTTGGCAGTTAATTTAGAAATAACAACCAAAACAAAGCAAAAAGCAGTGTGGGCCACGGTTTTGGAATAGTTGAGTTGGGTTTTGTGATCGGATTTCAGCACTGTGCTTCATTGTTCTTGTCTTTAAAATGAGGAATTGTGAAGCCTAAATGAATTTAAAGGTTTTATAAATTACATAACATACGATACACGCTTAGTGAACACTAGCGACTCTGTGTCCCTAATAGGATCAGTTATGACTATGCTTGTTCATTAGTAAATATAATACATCTAGAAACAACCTATTCTACAGGCATGCCTCCGAAAAAGTAGGCTTTTAAAATACATCTTCAGAAAGCATGTACATTTTCCACGCTGAGTGTATTTGTACATGTTACTGCCTGATGTAGAGAACTGACTACTTTAGCAAATGGGAAAGAATAGCAAGTTCTTGAAATAGAATCTGTTTGTATTATAACTAAATACAAATCTTATTAAGAAGAACCTAGCATGTTTTCAAAGAAAATTGATGTTGGATTGGCTTCAGGAGTTAACTGTTCTAGTTGTGGCCCTGCCACTAACTAAAGTGTCTGATCTTGATCAAGTCATTTAACTTTTCTGGCGTCTGGTGGTGGTGGTTTAGTTGCTAAGTTGTATCTGACTCTTTGCAACCCCATGGACTGTAGCCTGCCAGGCTTCTCTGTCCATGGGATTCTCCAGGCAGGAATTCTGGATTTGATTCTCATTTCCTTCTCCTTTCTGGCATTTGTCTCTTATTAAATAATTGTGTTCTGTTAGGTCAATTTTAAAGTTTCAGCTTTGTGGGTTTAGTTATTGTATTCTGGATCTAACAGGTAAGCTTCCCATCAAAGAGTTCAGAGATGGAAAAATAACTTTTTTTTCCTTTTTTTAAACCTCTGGACTAGATGGTCCCTGGTCTCTTACAAGTTTGAAGGTACTGAGGTTATCTACTATCTAAGGGCTTCGAATTAAGGGCTTTGCAAAGTCGAAAAAGTACAGTCCTGAAATTTAGGCATGTTTGGGGTATAATGTTCTAGAGGTAGGAAAGGTCCTTGAGAAATCTAGTCCCTTCCTGTTTTCCAGAGAAATCAAATGATTTGTTTGTGAGCTCAGCTAATTTTGGAAGTTAAGGTTTACTTTTAGATGCTAGTGGTAAGCGAGGACCTTATTGAAATAGCAGGTAATTTCACTTGAGTGATTATAATGTGAAAGTATGCTTCTGTATATTTCTGTGTTCTGTGACTTATTTTGATTTTTGAGTAACGTTCCAACTTCTGACGGCTCACTAAATTAAACAGGATCGAGATAAGGTTAAATTTTGAAAGGGAACATTTATTTTCAAGACAGTCATTATTTTGCAGTTTGTTTAGCTTCAGGTTAGCTCATACATGATTGATGAGTGATGATGTCCATGCCACAGCAGAGGTTTTGTTGGTTAATATTCTAATATTTTTCTTAGGTAGTGAAGGGCAGGGATAGGAATAGAGCCTGTAATAGGAAGGAGAAAAGCCATCAGCCAGAGGCAGGCTCCCTTTCAGGATCTGTTCCAGAAAGTCTGAACTAATAAAGTTAAACCTGAGCCTCAGCTCCCAGCCCTGGCTCCCCCGCGGGCGTCATTCGCGTACTGTGCTTCCTCGTGTCCCCTGCCTGGCTGGCCGCCCTGCTGGCTCCGAGCTCCCCTGGCCTCTGGAGTCTCAGCACCTGTAATACAGCAGGCACCTCCATTTGGTTGTTTCTGTACAGTTTAAGTGTCCCCTGAGGAAGCCTCTAGGTCTGAGGCTCCTGCCTGTCTGTCCAGGTTATTTCCTGTGTGCCAGTTACTATTTTTCTTAGAAATACTTTTACAAAGTTGCATGCGTTTAGATGACTTATGCCAATCTTATTTTTTCCATAAGCCTTCTTATTTTGACTACATGCTTCTGCAGAAAGAAGGTTTTTTCGGGAATGAGAAAATCTGATGTTGTGTGTATACCAGGTATATTCTGTGATATAGAATGATATTTGTGCTTCTCCTGTGACTACTGTTTAAATGCAGCTAACATTTAATCATCATCTATCAATTTATTTACTCTCGTAAAAGGAAAATAGCTATCATATAAGCCAAAGAATACAGGAGTATAGGTAGTTTTGAAAGTCTCCCCTAAAGTTGCTCTTTCTTTTCCAATCCCATTTTTCAGAAGTAAGTTTATTGTGTGACACTCCTAAGTTGTAAGCATGTATTTGTTTACACATATAACATGTAAATACATATATAAAGGCGTGTGTTTAATGTGGTCATGGAGAACATATTTTTGTGAGACTTAAGTTTTCTTTTGAACAGTACAGATTATCCTTACCCCTGGTGTGAATATGTCATAATTTTTGTTGTTCAAGTATAGTTGATACATGGTATTATATAAGTTACAATGTACCATACCGTAGTTCACAGTTTTTAAAGGTCACACACTCCATTTATAGTTATTACAAAATACTGGCTCTGATTCCTTGTGTTATACCGTATATCGTAACTTATTTTATATATTATAATTTTAAAAAATATTTTTCTATTGATTGCCATTTAGATTATTTCTATCATTAAAAAACTACTTCAGATGTTTCATTGAACTTCCTTATACATATTATTATGAAATTGAGTATTAAGATAGGATTGACTTTTAGGAGTAAGGTCGTTGAATCTTGGATTGTGGTCATTTAAAGTTGGTAGATAATGACCAAATGGCCCTTCAAAAAGGATCTACCAGTGTGTACTCCCATCCATAGTGTTTAAGACTCATTAAAAGCCAGTAGTATTTTGCTAACCTAAAGATAGATTTCATCGACTGTAAATGTTTGTTCCTTTAAAATTTAGTCTCAGGGCCTAAAATTGTTGCATCCAAAAATTTATTTTCAGAAGCATCAAGTTTAATATTTAAGAAATTAATAGTTATTTTCTTGCTGTGAGTCTTAAAGATGGCAAAAGATGAAAATGCTGATTAAAATATTAAGAATGGAAAGAGAATCACAACTTGAGTTTGAACATTTGTGAATTTGAACATCTTGTGCTTTAGAATCTGCTTTTCCTTGTGTTTTTGTCTGTTAAAGCCAAGATTTTTCTTAATTTTAATTTTTTGGAACTTTCTTTGAAATATACATAGTACACAAGGATAAATGTACAGTTCAGAGAATTTTCACAAACTGAATACACATGCATATTTATTTACCTTTTGGACAAATGGAACATTACTAACCTCTTGAAATCTCTCTCATGCCCTTATCCTGTCACTGACAACAGTGACTTGTTTTGATTTATAATACCATTGATTTATTTTACCTGTGCTTGAACTTTACATAAGTGGAATAATAGACTATAGTTATTTTCTCAGTGTTATTTGTGAGGTTCATTTATGTTTTGGCATGAGGTTTTACATCAGTCATTTTCATTGTTACATAGTATTCCAGTGTGTGAATAACTACAGTTGGTTTACTCATTCTGTTGTTGAGAGGAACTTAGGTGGTATCCAGTTTTCGGCTGTTAGAAATGTTGCTTCTGCCAGTATTGTTTCATATGCCCTAAGGCAAACACACATAGATATTTCTGTTTTATATACCCTGGACGTGGTCATTGGTAGGCATAAATCTTACTTTAACAGATAGCGTCAGTTTCTTTTCTTACCCCGTAAAGTGGTTATACTCATTTGCACTGTCACTAACAGGTCAGTTGCTCCAAGTTCTTGACAGTACTTCCTTCTTTATTGTTTTAACTATTTTAGTGGGAGTAGTTTTTGCACATCCCCCGTTTCCTTAGTGACTGAGGAAGTCTTTTTCTATTTACTGACTGCTTGGATAACTTCATTTGTCCTATTCGAGAGAATCCTTTTTTTTCTTTTGGATAACAGTCTTTTTATTGATTTGTAGGTGCTTTTTTACATATTAGAGGTGTAAGTCATATGTTTGATATGTTTTACACATTTTTTTACCAGTCTTTGGTTTGTCTTTTCACCCTTTAAATGTTATCTTGATGAACAAAACTTTAACTGTCATATTTTCCAGCTTATCAAGTATATCCCCAAATATCAGTTCTTCCCTTTTCTCTTTAGTGCTTTCAGTATTTTAAGAAATAAATTTTTGCTTACTCAAGGTTTTCAAAGTATTCTCTGTAGTTTTTTACCCTGACACCGTTGTTTTACTGTTCACATTTAGAGCTATAGTCCATCTGGAGTTGGTTTTTGTGTACATTGTGACTTGGGAATCATTTTTTACCCCCAGGTGGATATCCATTTTGACTCAGGAATGTTTATTGAAAGACTATCCTTTCTCCACTGTACTACTGTGTCAACTTTTTCAAAAGTTAGGTTACTGTGTATGGGATGGGTCTACTTTTGAACCTTTTTTAAAAAAGTTGGTGAGTTTGTTTATGCTTTATACTCTTAACTTATAATAAAGCTTTTTGGTAGTTTTTAATATCTGGTAACATAAGTCCTTCACGTTTGAACCCCAGACTGCCTGGACTATCCTTGATATTTCCCTATAAATTTTAGAATTTAAAGTTGTTAATTTCTCTCAGAAAACCTGTTAGAATTTTGCATTGACTTTAAATATCAAATTGAGGAGACTTGACATCTTGACAGTATTGAGTTTTCCAATTCATAAGTGTAGTATAGGCCTATATTTATTTAGCCCTTTAATTTCTTTCAGTGAGAAGAAAGCTGGAATATGACAGTATTAGACTTAAAGACAGTGTAAGCCTGTAGTCATAAGGTAGTGTGATACTATTGTGAGCGTATCTGAAGAACACAATGGAAAGAGGAAGTCTAAAGGGAAGATGATCAGAGCTTTTTAGTTTTATGCTTTAATTGACGAAATCTTTAGAGTGTAAATTAGTACAATCTTTGGTGTTATCTTACAAAGTGTCTCTTACCTTTTTCACAGGTGTGGACCATGTTTAAGGATTGCCCCAGCATTCAGTTCTATGAGTAATAAGTATCCACAGGCAGTTTTCTTGGAAGTAGATGTACATCAGTGTCAGGTAAGGCAAGAGGGCCCTTTTGAAATTTTTTGAAAATTTACAAATTGGCTTGAAATTCACATTAATATCATCCTTTATGTATCTCTTTGTGTACTAAGTACTTGTTTATTTGGAGGTAGGATGATGTTTATCTTGCAGTGGTGAATGCAAGTGTTGTTAAGGCTGTATTAGTAAAAGTAGTCTGATATTAATTGCTTCTGGGTTTGTCTATATTAATATTTTATTCATATAAAACTAATAGTATTTGGTAAACTTACTAGGTCACTTGGCTGTTCTGTTTTACATTCCTTAATTTTTTTGCAAATCTGGAACTATATCTTATACTATAGACACATTGGTTGGTTAAAAAGCCATGGGAGAGAATTCTTGGTTATAGTTTGATTTGAATTGATCATTTTATGACCTTAGCTCCAAAACTTCATACTCAGCAGAAAGTTTAAAACGTTGATTGTTGCTGATTGAGCCACAGGTAGATTACCCTGGTTACTTAGTTGGCATGGCTGTGTGACAGTTTCTGAGTTTGCGTATGTGTAAGTATGAAAGAGTGGTTATGCCAAAAAAGTTTTTGAAGGCTTCTTACAACACAGAAGACTACAAAAGTGTAATCTTGACTGAGGAACAGCTCTGTAGTTTTCTTTTTTTTTCCATTGAAGCTTTTGCCTTTGATACATTTCTGGGTTGAAAATAAAAGATCTTAGAATGTTACATAGTTTGTAGGTAAGCAGTTTGGGGATTTGGTGCAAACTCTGTGTTACATGTTCATTGTTTAGTACTTAGGTCACATTCTGCTGGACAGCAGCTCTGGCCTTATATCAGTATTCGGTGTCTCTAATCTGGAAGTGCTGTCTTCTGAAGCTGTGTCGTCCTGTATGGTAGCCACATGTAGTTGGTTGAAATGAGCACTTGAAATATGGCAAGTCCAAATTGAGTTGTGCTGTGAATGTAAAATGCATATAGGATTTTGAAGATTTGGTATGAACGAAAAAAATGTAAAATATGTCATTAACTTTTATATCAACTATATGTTTAAAAGTGCATATCTGGATTTACTAAAACAGGTTGCCAAAATGAATTTCACTTGTTTCTCTTTTTTGTCTGTGGGTTCTAGAAAATTTTTAACATGTATAGTTCACATTTGTATCTTACATTTCTTTTGAATGGCACTGTCAGTCTTTCCTTTTTTCCCCACTTACGAGGCTTAGAGAAGACATCTCTGTAAACTTTATGCTTTTTTTAAAAATAGTCACAGCTCTTCCTGGTATTAGAATATGCAACAGGACATATTTATTTTACTTATTTTCTTTATACTTCTCATGAGGAACTTAAACCATAAAGCAGTGGTTAACTAATTTTCATTTGGTGGCTAGTCTTATAATATCATGGAGTTGGAGTAGAATTTGAAAAGATACCAGTTGCAGTGTTTTTGATGGGAGACCAGAAGTCCTTTCTTTAAGAGTAAAACTAGGTGACGGTGTTTCATGGACAGACGGGCTGCTGTTTTTTCACATGTGTACTTTTTACTAGTAGCAGGGTTTGTGTTGACAAATCTCAATACCCTTCTGGGTTTCTCCATTTGAGGAATAGTCTGTGCTTATAAGAGAGAAGTATCTGGTTTTGTAAAGTGCAGTTTCTGTACTGGAAACTGATTGTTCTGCTGAATGAATGAATGAAGCATTTAACACTAAAACAAAAATACAGGGCTATTCTTCATTGTGGACATACGGGTAATATAGTTGTGACCTTTAAGAATAGGCTTGCTTTTTCTTTTTTTTTTTTTTTTTTATTGGAGGCATGTATTTTATTTAGTATATACACCATACACAAACATACACCATTTCCGTAACTAATAGTCTTACACTGTAGCTGGTTTTAAGAGCACATGAACAAGATTACTACTGAGACTTCTTTGTACATTCTGGTTGCAAACTTCAGTCAGAATTATGGGTCTTTCCAAACTCTTTATTGTACAAGATAAAAAAAGTTTTCAAAGAAGAAAAGGTTATTTTAATCTGAAAGTCACATTTCACCACAAGAAATGAAGAAAACATACTGCTGCTGCTGTTGCTGCTAAGTCGCTTCAGTCGTGTCCGACTCTGTGCGACCCCATAGATGGCAGACCACCAGGCTCCTCTGTCCCTGGGATTCTCCAGGCAAGAATACTGGAGTGGGTTGCCATTTCCTTCTCCAATAGAAGGAAATGCTTTTTCTTAAGTAACAGTTAGGAGTAAGTTATTTTACATGTTTTTAGTTCATGTTTGTGATATTTAACTTCCATACAGATGCATAGTGAATATTCCTAGTAGTTTAAGATTAGTTTTAATTTGTAATGCTTTCTAACTTGACAATTCTAGGGAACAGCTGCCACCAACAATATATCAGCAACACCTACATTTCTGTTTTTTCGAAACAAAGTGAGAATTGATCAGTATCAAGGAGCCGATGCTGTGGGACTAGAGGAAAAAATCAAGCAGCACTTAGAGAACGACCCTGGGAGCAACGAGGACACCGATATTCCAAAAGGCTATGTATGTGGTCTTAGAAGTGAAATGACGTCCTTGCATTTGTCATTATTTGGTTGAAATGATGTCACTTGCATTTGTCATTATTTGGTTGAAACGAAATTTACTCTTTGCATGTTTTGTCTTTTGCTAGTTAAGAATACTTTCCAGTAAGAACTTTGAAAATGAGTTCAGTAGCTGAGTGTTGGGCTTTGTCTGTGTGATATGTATTATAACCTTACCTGCATGTGTGCTGAGTCACTTCAGTCGTGGCCGACTCTCTGTGACCCTATAGACCGTAGCCCATCAGGCTCCTCTGTCCTTGGGATTCTCCAGGCAAGAGTACTAGAGTGAGTTGCTATTCCCTTTTCCAGGGGATCTTCGTGACCCAGGGTTTGAACCTGTGTCTTTTGCATCTCTTGCATTAACAGGCAGGTTCTCTACCACTAGCGCCACCTGGGAAGCCCATTATAACCTTAAGTCCCCGTCATAAACTCTTTCTCCAAAATTTCTTCTAATTTTTTTTTTTAAATTAGTAAATCCTGCATACCAAAAGATATATGTGTATATATTTTTTAAAATTTTGCTTGTTATAAAGTTAACGGCAAATTAAAAATGAATTTTTAAAAGGTAAGTGTTACCTCGAATTAAAGCTACTATATGAAGGCATGTATACCAAATGCATTAAAACAGATCTGTTACAGGGCTGCCAGTCTTTCTGTAAGGCTCTTAAATTCATGTTGAATAAGGAGACTTTGTAGTCAGGTAAATAATGAGCAGTTCTTTTTATATGTGTGAGTGGCAGGGTTTGTGTCTTCAAAAAACACCTTTAACATGTGGTAGCTGCATTAATTACTTCAAGTTAAGGAATTTTAATAATATTTCAACTGGAACTGTGATATAATTTGAAATAGTAATATTCAATTAGAAAGTATGAACATGGATAAGTCAGGGTTGTGACACCTTTTGGAAAATTTTAGAAATCATTTGACTTGTAAACTGCTGTGTTTACCTCTTTGTATTTTTCCTTTATTACTAAGGATTTTTGCATGAAGAAGTCTTACAGGCACAACAGTCTGGCTGCTTAACTGTAGGAATGGTTTATTCTTTACATCAGCTGAGTGTGATACCAAGGTTTGGGTTTTGGTTGGAAATAAGCAGGAAAAAATAGTTTTAAGAAGTAAATTAAAGTTAGTTTTCATCCAGATGTTATGAATACACTGAAAAACTATAAACCACGGTTTCATTTTTTCCATCAGGTGTCAATCAAGACTGCAAAAGTTTTGAACTGTAGATCTTACTGGGTTATTAAATGTTTAAAACTGGTAGTGTGTTCTCAGAACGTCATTGTTTTCACAACGTAAATGGAAACTGAATGAAAACCTGTGTCTTAAAGTAGATTTAAATAGAAGCATTGCAAAAATATATTCACAATTTTAAAATAACATTGGGTTTGTTAGACTAAAGACTTTGTCATTAGATTTTAACACTGAGAGGCTATACAACTACTGATTTCACACATCCTACAGTTTTGAAACTCCTGATTTGACTGGAGTCAGAGTTAAAGAAATAGGTATCTCTTCTAGGGGGAGTTGAGATATTGCAAAAGATGTAGGACATAATACTCAAAAGATAAAAAGATTCTTATTAAGAAGGCAGTATTTTGTAAAAATAATGACTTTCAGTTTTTAATATGTTTACTGAATTGGGAAAATGTTAAACATTTCTATTTTTTCCTTTCCCATATTTGCTAAGTGTGCCTTGTATGGCTTCAAATAGCATGAGGGGGCTAGCTGTATCAAGTCTCCCTCTTCAGAAGTTTACATGCTGAGCACTCTGGAATCAAATTTGTGTTTGCACGTGTTTTGTGTAAGTCTTAAGGCTCATTAGTGTATTTCAGTATTCCAACATCCTAACTGTTGGTTTTGGTCTACAAATTTGTCACATTCATCAAAATAAATAAAACATTGAATGTCCCTAATTTACGTAGTAGGTAGGACAGATATTTCTTTAACCAAAAACTTGAAGCATGAAGAGCTTTTGTGTAACTCCCGTGTGTCTCCTGTTGGATTCCATCCCTTCCTCCCCTAAAACAATAGGTAAAATATATTCAAACCAAAAAAGTTGACTGTAGTACTACAAACATGCATATCATTCACTTATACTCATCAGTTGTGAATGTTTTGCTGTTTTTGTTCTATATCAATATGTATGTATCTGCTTTTGTTTTTTGCGGCATTATTTACAAAATAAGCTATAAACCTCATGATGGTTCATGTGTAAATATTTCAGCATGTAGCTCTTAAGAATAAGGACATTCTCTGATATAGCCATGATGCCATTATCACTTCTAAGAAATTTAACATTGATATACTTATCCCTAATGTACAGCTTATATTAAAATTTCCTTAATTGTCTCTGAAATGTACTTTGTAGCTTTTTTCCCTCAATCTTGGATCAAATCAGGGGTCATGCATTGCTTTTAACTTGTCAGTCTCTTTAGTGTTCTTTAGAAACTTCCGTGTGCCTTTATTTCTTTCATGACTGCCTTTTTGAAAAGTTTAAAACATCACCAGTCTACTACAATAGCTGCTAGACACGTGTGGCATTTTTTATGTGACTAGGGCAACTGAGGAACTGCATTTTCAATTTTATCTATTTTTAATTAATTTTAAATTGACACATGTGGCTAATGGCTGTCTCATTGTACAGTGCAGGTCTGGACCATCTGTCTTATGCACTGTCCCACAATCTGGATTTATGAGATTGTTTTCTCATGATTCTTTCCTCGTTATTGGCAAGTTGATTGCATAAGTAGTAATATTTATTTCCAATAGCATGTTTCCAGAATATGTCAGTTTGCAATTATGTCAAATATATAATATTATGCCAGTTTGTCCCAGACAGTGTTGAATAATAGAGCACTTTAATGCAGCTGTTCAGCTATGGTACTTGTTTTGTGTGTACCAAGATAAATTAAAAAACAACTTAAAATAATTTAACTATTTAGTTTATTTTCATCATTGAGGTATTGGAAGTATGACTGCAATGTTGCCTTCAAACTTGGGGTCTTGATCCTACATATAGTATGGAAGAGGCATCATGGTAGGATGGTAGACATTTAAATGTTCGTAAGATTTTGTCACATTTTCAAGATAGATGTTATGGAGTTCAGAATAATTCTGTAGAAGTAGAACTTGGCTCTGTAATGCTCCTTTTCTTCCTACCTCTCTCTGAATTGGCTACAGTATGTTACCCTGAGTAATATATTTAACATCTAATGCAGTATAACATTTAATATAATAGAATATTTTGGCTTTGAAAGCATTTAGGCTAGTCTGTGAATAATTAAGGGTCTATTCTAATGAATTTTTACCATATTGGTAGTTATTTGACCTGTAAAAATTTTTTTCTTTAGTCTTTCAGAACTGTATACACATGTATTAGTATATATAGTAGTGTTAGTAATGAAAACTGATAGAACATGCAACTGATAATTTATAATACTTGGTAAACTTTATTGCTTGGTAAACTTTAAAGCAGTTCTTGTTTAGTGGAAGAAATGGATACTTTTCTAGAAAAATAGTTTATCAAAATCAACTCCACGAGAAGCAGAACTCCTAAATAGATCAGTCACCATTGAGGAAATAGAGAAAATAGTAAAAGAGCTCTTCCATAAATACCAGGATGACTTCACAGGGAAATTCTAGCAAATCTCTATAAAGATCAGATAGTCTGGTGTTACTGCAACTGCTTAAGACCATATCAAAGGAGAGAAAACTTCCAACTTTATTTTTGAAGTATAACATTGATCCCAGAATCTGATAGTTTGTACCAAAAAAAAGTTACCAACCAGTTCCAGTTAGGAATATTGGTGTACAAATCTTAAATAAAATATTAGTAAACAAAATCCAGCAATCTAAGGGAGAAAAATCATGATCTTCTAATATGTGGGGAAAGCATCTAAGAATTCTTTGTTTATTTATTTTGGCTGTGCTGGCTCTTTGTGGCTGCACGGGCTTATCTCTGGCTGCATTGGGCAGGGCTGCTCTGGCTGTGGTGCACGGGCTTCTCATTGCGGTGGCTTCTCCCCTTGCTGCCTCTAGCACGGACTCCAGGACACGTGGTCTTCAGTAGTTGTGGCTTGCGGGTTTCGTGGTTGCAGCCTCGGGGCTCTAGCGCACAGGCTCAGTAGTGGCAGACAGGCTCAGCTGCTCCGCAGCATATGGGATCTTCCCAGATCAGGGATCGAACCTGTGTCTTCTGCATGAGCAGATGAATTCTTTACCACTGAGCCACCAGGGAAGCCCGGGAAAAAATATTTGACAGAATGCAATATCCATTTATTCCTAAAGCATTCAGTTAAATTTTAATGGGAAAGCACTGGAGACATTCCCACTGAGTCGGAAGCGGGGCAGGGATGACCGCCGTCGCTGCAGCTCTTCGGTGTTCTGTTGGAAGGGTGAGCCAGCACCAACACAGGAAACGGGGAAGTGCTACAGCACGCCACGGGGAAGCAGCTAGCAAATCTGGAGAGGAGAAACCTACAGGCTGAATGGCTGCATTAAAAGAGATTTAAGAGACATTAACCAAATGCAGTTGTTTATACTTGTCTTGGATTTTTATTGAGTCTTAACTGATTCAACGGTAAAATATTTGAGACAGTTGAAGAAATTTGAACATTGATATTGATGGTACTAAAACATTATCAATGTTACAGTCATGGTAATGATATTGAGGATTTTTTTTTTTTTCAAGAGTCCTTATCTCTTAGAAATGCTTATGAACACACTGAAATGTTCATGAATAACATGAGAAAGATGTCTAAAATTTACATGAAAATAATCAGGAAAAAGGTTGGGGCTGGTTACAGAGTAATGGTGAACCCGGAGTGGCTGTGAATTGATGATTGTTGCATCCAAGAGGTGGGCACCTTGAGGGTCACTGTGTTAGTCTATTTATGTACGTTTAGAATTTTCCATAATATAATTTTTTAAGTAGTTATTTGCCATTCATCTTTTTTTTTTTTAATACTTATTTATTTTATTTCTTTGGCTTGTGCTAGGGTCTTAGTTGCAGCATGCAGGGTCTTTAGCTGCAGCGTGTGGGATCTAGTTCCCTAAGGATCAAACACGAGCCCCCTACACTGGGATCTCGGAGTCTTAGCCACCAGGGAAGTCCCTAGTTCATCTTTAATCCAAACTCTTCATGGATACAGGTTTAAAGAGTGCGTGATCACTAGAAGAGGGAGGTACGCTTTCTTTAGATATTTTGTAGATATTTATTTTAATTTGTGTATTTTCCACTGCCAAACACTGTTACTAAAAAAAAAAGTATATGTTAGCATTTAATAATCTTTGTGTTAAAGACTTGGTTTTAGATACTTATTAAGTAGGCTAAGGCTCAATTTGTCTTTAATTATTAGTGGTAGATATCAGAAGTTTGGACAAAAGGGTTATTATAAAAGTTTTAGTAACTTTTAAATGAGATAGAAATTTCTTAACTTAATCAAGAGAGAATTACTTCAATACAAAATAAAAAGTTAAAAAAATTAAGAGAATCACAAGGATGTATTGTACGGCACAGGAAATAAAGTCAATAGAGTACATACAGGTTATTAAAAAGATAAGTGGAATATAACCATTAAAAGTTGTTAACCACAAGTGTTGTACACTGAAAACATAATTTTACACAGTTTAAAAGAGAATTACATATTTACATTTTTTACTGAAATTTTTATACCAAATCCAAATGCTTTGTCTGACATCTTGGTTTAAATTTTCAGATGGATTTAATGCCTTTTATTAACAAAGCTGGCTGTGAATGTCTTAATGAAAGTGATGAGCATGGATTTGACAACTGTTTACGAAAAGACATGACCTTCTTGGAATCTGATTGTGATGAACAGGTAACTGAATGCTTAGGGCTTGTAGAGATTATCAGTATTTGTGCCCACACATGTCTCCATCTCATGGTTTCATGTCTCTCCTTTCCAGATGATCACTTTTTTCTTCCTTTTTATAACTTTACCTCTGACCCTGCCAACTCACCCCCTTTCTTTGTTTATGCCAGCTACACTGTGAAGAATCATACTCTTGGGTTGTCTGGAAGGCTGGGTTGAGCCTTCACTGTCCTTAAGTCCTTTTGTTCATCCTTCTTGACCTGCCTTCATACTTTGTACCCACCTAAATGAGACTTAATTAGATGAGTACTCCTTTCATGTCTCGTCCTCACTCCCAGTGTAAACCTGCTGTATTTCCCTATATTTTCCTGCAGTGTTGTCACAGAGAAGGTAGGATAGTGTAGTTCTGCCTTGATCATGCCATCTCTGTCTTCATCTTGCCTGTTATTTAAAATTTTACTTTCTGAAAAATTTTTTTCTTAAATAATTACTATACCATTGCCTCTGCTTTGTCCCCATTCCAGTATATCTTTTATATGTTCACAAAAGTTATTTCTGTAAAATATAAATCATATTTATATTTTGATTTCTTAAAAGAGTTAAATGATTCTTCAGTGGCTTCAGGAAGAGGATGTCATATGCTTACTGACTTTATCTACTTCTAGCTTTCTACTCTCATATCCTCTTCACCTATGGTTCAGGTCCCTAAATGGGTCATGTTTATTTCCTGACACCCAAATACAGGTCAAGTATTAAAAGTACTTACATAACTAAAGAGAGTAGTCTTAAGTATTTTCTTAAGCAAATAGACCACAGTGATTTGAAATAAATCTAAATCCCATTTTCCTTTGCTCCAACCAAAACTACCTTATTTTATTGCTTGAAAATACCGTTCACATTGTGTGCCTTGTAAATGGTGCCCTAAGCGTAATGTGGTGATGTATATTAGAAGGGCTGGCTCCAGGTTCCCTGAAATCTTCCTCCTGAGGAAACCTTCCTCCCAGGCTGGAAGCATAAGGCTTCATCAGACAAAGTTTTGGCTGGAAAGAAGATTGAGTGAATGAATCAGAGAGAGGCATTTCAGCAGCTTTGTATTTCAGTTCCCTTGGGTGGCTTTCCAGATTCAGTGAGTCAAATACATTTAGGATGGAGGTTTGGAGGTTACTAATAGAGCTGTGAGTCCTGTTCTCTTGAGTTTTGAATCAAATAGAGTCCATTTGATATCTAGTCTCTCCACATAACCTGTGTGCATTGTCTCCAAATTGTCAAGTGACCATGGGTAGACGCATCCACAGATAAACTGTTTCAGAAAATATTAAGCTTCCTATGTTAAAACCCATAGTTTAAGTTTTAGTTTGGGGGTTTTGTTTAATTTTTTGTGGGGGGGAAGTGTATTGTTGTCAGTTTTTAGGTCATGAGGCTTTAGGTTCTTAACATATAATTTTAATTAATTCTGTTAAATTTTGTTGTTATTCCTTTATAAAAATAATAGATTATTGTATTTCTCAAATGTCAAACTAATCAAGTTACTTTCAGCTTACTGATATTCTGTATTACATTGGTTTTGTTAGATGAATTAAATTTTCTCTGCTTCTTAATTATTTTAATTCTCCTTAGCTGTATGAGTTACTTACTTAAGATGTTTAACAGCCCTTTAAAAATGAGACAATTATTTTCTTCACAGCTTCTTATTACTGTGGCATTCAATCAGCCTGTTAAGCTTTATTCAATGAAATTTCAAGGGCCAGATAATGGTGAGTAATGGGCAGCTTTTCTTTAAAGTAACTTTCTGCTCTATAGAACTGCTGGAATATATTTACAACTTTTCTTTGTTTTAAATTGATGTATAGTTGATGTACAGTAGTATGTAAGTTTCAGGTGTACAACATAGTGATTTACAGTTTTTAAGGATTATACTCCATTTACAGTTATTCTGAAACATTGGCTGCATTCCCTGTGAGCGTCCTTGCAGCTTGTTTATTTTATGCGTAGCTGTTTGTGCGTCTTAGTTCCCTGCCCCTCTCTCGCTCGTCCCCTCCCCTCTTCCCTCCTAGTGACTGGTTTGTTTTCTTTACTTCCTGAGTCTGTTTCATTTTGTTAGGTTCACTAGTTTGCTTTAGTTTTTAGATTCCACATAATAAGTGATACCATGCAGTATTTGTCTCTGTCTGCCTCACTTGTCCCACTTAGCATAATATCCTCCTAGTCCATCCATGTTGCTGCAAATGGCAAGATTTCATTCCTTTTTATGGTTGAGTAGTGTTCCATTGCATATGTATATATACTCCATCTTCTTTGTCCATTCTATTACTGGTCCCGTAGGTTAAAACTTGTTATTAAATAGAGGTAGAGATCTCTTGTTTTGGGAAAGAGTGAAATTGTTCTTGGAACAAAGCAATGACAAATAATGTAAGATTATTGGGCCAAAAGTGATTTAAAAAAATCTTTCAGCATTTTTCCTTTTCATCTGAAAACAAGGGAGCCCTTTCTTCCAACTAAGAGTTCTAGGTTTGAGGTAGCTGTTTTTCAGGGTGGGAGCTGGGGGAGACTTATTTCACATTCTTCCTATTACAGGTGATAAAACTAAGGCCCTAGATTCTCCTCTGTGTGTGCTAATTAAAGTTGCATTTTCTCTATACATATTATGATGCTGTAAGCATGATTTTGTTCAGTAGAGTTGTTCTTACCCCCACCCCCTTTTTTCTGTTTCGTTTGTGTTTTGTTTTTGTTTTTTGGCTGCTGGGGGTGGAGATGGGAGGGGCCTGGGGTGGGGAGCGGGGACTCGGATTTGTTGCTGTTTCCTTAGTTGATTGGGGGAAACAGCGCCCTGTTTATCAGACAGCATTCCCTTAAGTCATCTACTATTCTAAGTTTCCATGGGTTAATGATTTTTTCACTAATAAAATTGTTAATTTATTCTGAAAATACAAAGTATTTGTAAAAGCAAATGCCATAGAAATGAGTATGTAAGCCGTGTGGCTATGGTAAGATTCTTCAGTCAGTCACAGAATGCTGGTCTGAAGCTACAGACTAAGACATTCTACAGTGTAATTTTAGCACTGAACACAGCCTAATCCCTACGACGAAATCTGGCAGTTTGTGTCGTTAATTTCCTCTGGCTAAATATTGTCACCAATGATGCTTTTCTCCTAAGTAACAAAAGGTGCCAGTTGATGGCAACTGGAAGACTCGGCTCGATGTTTCTTTTATGAAACTTACCATCCTGCGTGTGTGTCAGACTCCACTGCTGCCTTGCCAGTACCTGCTCCCTGGGAGCTGTACATTCCTCTCTGCCTGCCTCCTGCAGTTGAGGGCAGGAGCTCTGTGTGTATGTGTGCTTTAATCTACTATTCCTAGTACCTAGTATAGTTTTAGCAGGCCAAGAATATACCACTAAATGTTGAGAGAGGAGGAGCATGGCTATGAAAATACTCAGACGTTCTTAAAATTTCTAAAGGTAGAGGTAGGTGTGTGCATATGTGGGCATATCTGTATAGAGTGAACGTAATGATAAAGATGACAAAGTATTAAATGTTTGATGTTAGCATTTAATTTTATTCTATCATTCTATAGGTCAGGGTCCTAAATATGTAAAAATTTTTATCAATCTACCACGGTCTATGGATTTTGAAGAGGCAGAAAGAAGTGAGCCAACTCAAGCTCTGGAACTAACAGAGGATGATATTAAAGAAGATGGTATTGTCCCTCTTCGTTACGTTAAGTTTCAGAACGTTAACAGTGTAACTGTAAGTAGTGTTTCATTCAGATGTATGCAGCGGGTTGGGGGTGACAATTCATGCCGTCTTCAGTGTCCTAGCTGATTCAGGTTATCCTTAAAAATGGTTAATTGTCCATTTGGTTTGAAATGCATAAAAATGTCTAATGAGCTAATTAAATTTTCTTCTTTTTAATTCATCTGTGTGCCCTAAAAAGGAAGGTGGATTTTTTTTGTAGGTTTGTCAAATACATATATATATGGCATGTATATGCCAACTTTTGTTAAAAGTTTATTCTAGAACACTTATTCTTAAACCAGATACTTATTCTTCCTTCATACCTGGTAATGAGTGAGGATACGTTTCTAAAATCCAATTTACTTTTGATTCATGCAGTGGCCATGATATCAGTAAAAACTGACTTTTTAAAAACATAATTTTGTGTTATCTTAATTTACATTATGAGATCAGCAGCTTTTTAGCAGTTACTAATTGCTTTTTTGAATTCTAGTATTAAACCCAGCACATGCTTCTAAACCACCTGTCATTCCATTCCATCAGAGCAGGGGTTTAGGAGGGTTAGAGCAGAAGGCTGAGAAGGAGGAGCTGGAAGCAGCAGAGTTGCCTGAGAACAGGGCATGCCAAAGGAGCGTAATTTCTTTGTGTCGGTGGATTCCGGTTTTTGTAAATTAGAAGAATGCTATAGCTGTGTTCATTTTGGGAAGTTTTCAGTGGAATTTCACAGAATATACTTAGCAGTAAGATAAAGGATTATATTGAGTTTTGAGTAGAAGTATTTTACCCAGAGTAAATTAAAGGAAATGGTTATATCAAACTGCAACACTGGTTATGAAATATTTTCTTGACTTTATTCATTTGTAACATATTTATTTGTAACATTTATTTGTAACATTTATAAATATTTGTTACATATTTGTAAGATGTTTATTTGTAGCATTCAGTTAATTACACCTATTGCTTTATGTAGTGATGGGAGGAAGGCTTTTGTTTATTAGAAAAAGCCCTTTAAACCCAGAGATCCTAATATAATCTCTTCTGTCTTTGAGAATCATTGAACATAGTTACTTTGTGATAGGTTCATAGTCTTTACTGTGTCCTATTAAAATCATACTTTTAAACTCATAATTTTAGTCATTGACTTAAATTCAGACACAGAAAGCACACCTGTCACTTTTTTGATGATAAAGTTGAAATCGAAATGACAGTTTTGTTCAGAAAGTCTAAGAAAAATAAGTACATGAATTTTTAAAAGCAGTAAATATAAACTGTTGTGCTTAGATTAAAAAAGCATTGCAGATATAAAGAACTAGTTTAATAATCTCCTTATTATAGACTTGAAGTTTTTAATTGGTAAGCTCAATTCGAGATGAACCTGTGGTTGCCTGAATAAACAACAAAACTGATTTTCATATGAAAACGGAAAAAGAATGATGCCCAAATCAAGAGAGGCAATATTCTTAAGTAGACAGCATCTAGAGTATTATTTTTAAAAATGGAGCAAATTTAAATAATCCAGTGTATTGAAAAAGGACCTATGAATAAAGCTTCTGTCTCCTAACATGCTGAGGGAAATTTTTAAATAGTATAAAAGGAGCAAGCTTAATAAAACATGCCAGGCACAGTATGGGCTTCCCAGGTGGCTCAGTGGGTAAAGAATCTGCAGTGCAGGAAACATAGGTTTGATCCCTAGGTTGGAAAGATCTCCTGGAGAAGGACATGCAGCCCACTCCTACATGCAAAGCACAGTGTAGTTTTAGGAGCTGACTTCCAGTGCTCTCTTTTTTCTTTTAACATTTTAGGGAGTAGAATGAATGATGGAGTATCAGAAAGAATATAACTGCCAAGATTTTCCTCAGTAAAAAATTATAATTTTAGTAAAATTTCAGTAGCATTCTGCCTATTGTAATCTTGAGTTTCATGCTCTTTCACTATTCTCTGTAAATAATTTAATTTTGACCCTTCAACATTGTCATGCCAAATCATGCAGAGCTTACATATATAAGTATCCTGCCATGATCCCCCTTGGACAAGGTAAGAACAGTCGAACAGACAGTAGAATTAATGATGCTATAGGAATCCTAGTGTAAATGTAATTTGGATTAATCCTTATAAAGAATAGAAGGTATTTTTACTAATAATCTAAGAAAATTCATTTAATGAGCATGTTTATCGAAAAAGAAGTGGAATCATTAATGGTAAAATTCTTTGTGTGTGTAGATATTTGTTCAGTCCAATCAAGGTGAAGAAGAAACAACAAGAATTTCATATTTTACTTTTATTGGGACTCCAGTCCAGGCAACAAATATGAATGACTTCAAACGAGTAAGTTTGTTTAAATGATATCTAGGAGAAATAAAAATAGTAATTTTAAAGAAATAATTTTAAAATGATCAAAATCATATTATGTCATGAAATTTTATAAGGATAAACAGAACAGTAGGGCCTTCTAATCACATTTTTAGATTTCTTAATAAGAAATCTCTAATAAAGATAAGTGTCATTGACACAGTGTCTGTTAATGTATGGCATCCAAATAAGAAGGTATAAATTATTGTTTTGTTATAGCAGGTAGTTAGGGATAGTGAAAATTGGAGTACATTAAGTCATTATTAGTGAATTTTTAAGAACTTTGCTTGCTTATATTAAGATTTTGATTATCATTGTTTCTGATGAAAACATATTTAAAATGACAGTGATTTTAATCAAGAAGAATGGGCTCCTTTACTTCACTGAGATGCTTAAACCATGTCTTTGTGCTGAAGAACACATTTCAGCAAATAACCCTTCAGTGAACAGGCATATGTGTTCAGTGGCTTTTTTGGTTTGGTTTTTGTTTTTGAGGACATACTCCTAAGGTTTGCATAAGAATTTAGGTTACCATGGGACCTTTAGAAATAAGAACATTGTTTGATTCTTAGAACTACTTCTAACTGGTAACAGTTCCTGAGCATGACTCTTAAAATATACAGCCATGGAGCATAGACGTGCCATCAAGAGCTTGGTCAGTACAGAACCAGCTGCCGTGCACAGGTGGAGTGTGCGGCAGCACAGAAGATGGAGATGCTGCAGTATTCCCCATGGCTGCGTCTGGCAGGCGCTCTAGAACTTGGGGTGATTGTTAAGAGAGGAGGTGTTTGCCCAGGGCCGCCAGACTTGGTTTACCAGTTTAGACCCCTGTTTGGGGAATGGAAGCCATGGAACACCCAGAAAACTCATTCTTCTTGATGACCTTTAATTTTAATTCAATTGCAGGAAAATAAAATTTGTAACAGTGGATGAACTTATAAAACTGGACGCTGACAATAGATATTTTAACGTCATTTTCCAACTGCTGTCTTCCTGTCTCACAGCATAGTTAACTTTTGGGAGCTGTAGGAACAGTTTTGTTCTTAGATCTGTCATGTGGGATGTTTGACATATGCATAATGACAGGTCAGAAGAAGCAGAGATTAAACATCTACGTTTTTACGATACGAAATGTGCTGCACTGGGAAACCGTGTGAGCAACAAAGACGTTTTGGCTGCCTGCTTTGCTCCTTTGCTTGTTTGAGTCAGATGCCGTTGGGTTTGGCTTTAACTGTGCCTTGCATAGTTTGCTTCTAGCGCAGTTCTTTGCTAAGATCTCTTACTCTGAATCCCATTATTTCCTCATACTGTTAACTCGACTCTGGTTTCCTGCTTCTCACCTCAGCTTATGCTTCTTGATTTCCATGTTTCCTCCAGGTAACCCCTCATCTTACTTATCTTCTTACCAGCCTGCCGTCCAGTTACAGTTTTTCTAGTGTGCATTAATAGTTGCCCATCTCAGGATGCCTCCACCTCTTTGCTTTTAACGTCCCCTCTCCTGTCCCTAGCCTGGTGGCTCAGTGGGAGAGAATCTACCTGCCAGTGCGAGAGATGTGGGTTCCATCCCCGGTTCAGGAAGATCCTCTGGAGAAGGAAATGGCAACCCACTCCAGTATTCTTGCCTGAGAAATCCCATGGACAGAGGAGCCTGGTGGCTACCTTCCATGGGGTCACAAGAGAGTCTGACACGATGTAGCAACTAAGCAAGAGTTCACATCTCTTCTAGCCTGTTCTGTCTCTTTTTTGACCACCAGACTACCTTTTTTGACTGTCTTTAGGATAGTAGGGGTGTTTTTCTTTTCTTCTTTGAGAGTATTTGTGTTTATTCTATAGTACTATATGTTTAACTAGGTACTTTTTTTTTTAACCTTATTGAAAAGCACTGTAGAATAGTAGTTCTCAAAACTTCATGGTCCCAGGGCACCTTTACACTGGTAAAGATTGTTGTGGGCCAGTATTTATCTAATACTTACCATCTCAGAAGCTAAAACTGGGAAATTTAAACAATATTTATTTACTTAACAAATAATAAAATTATTGTGTTAGCACAGGTGATTTTTTAAATTAAAATACTTAGTTTCCAAAACAAAAACCAAGTTTTGTAAGAAGAAGAACATTGTTTTACATTTTGACAAATTGTATGCAGTTAGCTTAGTAGAATCCTCTCATTCTCATATTTGCTTCTGCATTCGATCAGTTTTGCTATCATAAGTCATGTAGCCTCTGGAAAACTTCATTGTCCATTGTGAGACAATGAGAGTTAAAGAGGCAAATAACAATTTATTTAGCATTATTATGAAAGCACTCTTGACCTTGGGAAACTCCCTGAATGGGTTTTAAGGTCACCCAGCTTGGATCACACAGAACTGCTGCAAGAATTACGTTAACATTGTAATGGATTTCCTTCTTGGTGTTCTGGACTTCTTAATCCTTTGCTTTTATAATGTCTGATAAATTTTAATTGTTTGAATGGTTTTCTTATGTATATTAATGTTACATATTCTTCCAGTAGTTTCTGAATGAGATTGCTCTGCTTGTGTCCTTCATTGTCCTGTAGTGTTATTTCTGAAAAGTAAACAAATATTTTAGTAGTTTTCATACTGTGCTAAGCCAGCAACTTTAGGAAAGCTGCAGTTAAAAAGCTAGTTTATGTTTAACTGAAATTGGCCTTATTGAGAGTCACTTATTAAAAGCCATCAGTGAGTTTGGATTCTAGTGAAGGAAATAATAGATTTGTGCTCTGATTCTTGTGGTCCCTGTGGTACTGTGTTATGTGTAGTCATAATCTCTGATAGTAACAAGTTTATATTGTTAAAGGGTAATACCCTAACGTTTGGAATGCTAACCAATATGAATCAAAGCTTAGTTCAAGGCAACAGTAGGCACTCTAGGTAGAATGGAAAACAAGAACCCTGGGCATGGAAGTGAGATGGTCCAAGTCCTTCATTCAAGGAGAAGTCAAGTGTGGCATTTTCTCTTTACTTATTTAGTCAGTTTGACTTTTAAAGGCATTGCAGACAGTAATGAGAATTTAAAATTTCAGTATAGATTTGGCATGTGTTTTATCAGCACAGAGGAAAGTTCCAGCACCTCTTTGTGTAGTGAAGAGAATTGTATAAAATGACTTTAATGAATGATAAAATAGAATTATGTAGCATTTTCAGTTTCTATTTTTATGTTGCATGAGTTGTTCCTAGTTAATTTTAGTTCTCAGAATGTCATTGATCTTCTCCTTATGTTACTAAGATGACAGAAGCTAGGGTAGTGCTGTTGAATCTTGGTTGTGGATGGAAGTCTTAGACCACCTCGCATACTCTTACAGTTTTAGAAGGTCATACTTGTCAGATTTGGGAGACTAGGACGTACCTTCCATTTTTCTGTTTTTGGCTCGTAAGAGGCATTGTGCCCAGATTATAATATACTTAGGCTATCTGTTGTAGTAAATGTGTTCTTTATGTTGTAGCATGAAAAAAGCTTGCCATTTTAATTGAAAGTAGATGTTTTCTTTGCAAAAATATGCTTTTCACATGGTTTGCTTTATTTTAATACAAAAGTAATATAAGTGTTCAAAACTGAGCAAAAGTGAAGGGGCTTCTGCTTCTTAGGGAATGAGGTGCATGTGAAAAGCAAAGCAGATTTTCTATCACGGTAATAAAAATAGACTTTTCTTAACTGGCCGTTCACCGTATCAGCTATTTTTGTAACATTTTTGTCTGTTTATTTTTCAGCTTTTTTAATCCAACTCAAATGAACTAAAAACAGAAGATTTTTAAAAATGAAGTAATATAGAGATTGACCTTATCTCACTCTACTTCCCTCCTTGCTTCTCTGCTCATCTAGCACCTGTCTGCTCTCACCCTTCTCACGTTCTCGCCATTGCTGGGCAAGATCTCTACAGCTTCTGTCATCTGGATCAACCCTCTTGTTACCTAGATTGCCTCAACCATCTCTGTCTTCAAATCTCATTCTAGTCAATGTTTCTCAGTTGGCCTTTTATTTTGTTTCAGTTTTTATTCTGATCTTGCAACTAGGTGCTTTAGTTTCATTACCATACCAGATTGCTCACCCAACTTTTTTTTTTTACTTTCTCTTGTCTCATTTAATTTTGTACTACATTTTGAGAAAGAATATTGCAGTTAAACTTACATTGTCATGAATATTTTTAGATTTAAATAGTTGGATAATGTTTCAATTCAATCTAAAGTTTTTATTTTTTAGGAACAATAGAATTTTGGAAATCAAATATGAGCAGTTTCACCAAGTTCTTTTATATTAGAGCTAGTGTAATATATTGATTAGGCTGAAATTGAGAGGTATAGGTTTTCTCATTGGAACTGTAGCCCTAGAATCTTTTTGCTGATTAATTGTGGGCTTGTCCTCTGCTTTGCCAACACAAGTGAGTTCAAGGCCAGTTGAAAGACTTATGGACTGAAAGTTAGGCTGGGTTAAAATATTAACGTAGAAGATCAACGGACTCTTTACTGAATAAATATCTTTGACACCTAGTTTTGATGTACCAAAATTTTTGTTTGTCGGAGGTGTAATATAAAGACTTACAAATGAATAAAAGAGCTTTACTGTTGGGATGAGAAGCTCCATACTGGAATGCTGAATTTCTTCTTTTTTCCAGAGAATACACATTGGCAAGTTGAGAGTTATCAGCCTGTGAAACAGTATGCAGATTCATGTCTTCTATTGTATCACATCTGCTAAAATGTTAATTTTTAATATTAATTCTTTTTGTTTTCTTTTGCTTAATCTAATAGCTCTGTGTTTGTGTGTTCCCAAGTGACACAGTGATCACCAGTGCTCTCCTGCTTATCTGCTTCAGTTCATTTGTGGTACAAATAGCACCCCCTCCCCGCTTTCTCAGGAAAGACACCCCCACCCCCGGCTCTCAGAATCTGAACTGCTTACTTTCATCCACGTGCTCTTTTATGAGACTGTCTTTGTATCTTTTTTGGCTTTTTGGACTTTGTAACACGTGGTTTCCTTGGATTAAAGAGGAGTTGTTTTAAAGCAATAAAAGTGTTTTTCCTCAAGATGGGGAAAACAGCATTTCTTGCAGTATGTGATTAGGAATTCAGTAGAATGGGTTTTTAATCATCTTTTCCCATGAATGACATTGACCCAGCCAAGTTCTGTTTTAGACCAGATTTGTACTGAAGATCTTTGTGAATTTTGCTTGATTCAGACACTGCCTTTTGGACAAGAGTCAATTTAAAATATGAAAATTATATTTATAAATGTACATAAAAATTTTGTTATATGTAAATATATGTCAGTGACTTGCAAGTAGATTTCCTTAGAGACATTTCTACCATGAGAATACATTATTATGAACTTTAGATTTAAAGTAAATTGTTTGATTAGAATGTAGTTTTAGAACCTTCCCATAGAGGCTTTGTTTTCTAGAACTGTTGTTATAGAAATCAGATTTACTCCTTACAGTTTTATGCTGCCACATTGATAGCAACCTAGGACATTTTTTAAACCTTCCCATGGAAAATTTTTCTAATCATTGACTGAACCTAGATTTATTCTTTATATTTTAGTAGTATATTTTAGGAACCAGGATTTTTAAAAAATAGAAACTAGGCAAAATTAGTAATTTTTAATCTGTTTTCATTGCATGTCTACATATTGATAGAAAAGTCTAGAAACCTGTCATCTTGGGCATGAAGACATAAGTTTAGCATACTCTTAATTCTACATTATTTTGTGATCAACATTTGATATCTAATTGCCTAAAAATAGTATGCCAAATATATTTCACTTATGTAGCATCATCTTTTTATTAACTTCTCTAAACTGTCAACGTTGTTTTGAAAAGTTTTGCATTACTTAAAACAGTGTGAAATACCAAAAATAGCCTGCATGTATTTTAGTTTTAATTTCTAGAGGCTGGGAAGGGAGGGAGGGTCACAGTTTGCTTCAACAATGAAGATACACTGCATGCCAAAGAAATGCAAATATAAAAATTAATATAGGTTTTAAAAATGATAACATTAGTATTTTGAAAATAACTCACATTTCTAGATCAAGAAGAGGTATATATAAAGTTATTTTTGTTCTTCCTAGGTAGTTGGCAAAAAAGGAGAAAGCCACTAAAGGTACAAAAGACACTGGAAGACCATATTGCAATCAGATCTACAGCTCCTGGATAATTGCTTGATTCTCGCCAGAGACTTTCAATATTTCATTCATTGCCATTACCAATAAATCATTGCTTTTGTTCAGATGGTATCACTAGTGTTTCTATTGTAACCTTAATACATGCAATTGTAAATAAAAGTAACTACTTTTGCCAAGCTCAATTTTTGTTGTTCTAAATAAGTATTTTCTCTTTCCATTTATGTGAAAATTGGACACCTTCTGATTTTAGCAGAGACTTCAGTGTCTGATAGCGTATTGATCAAAAGCCTGTTTCTCTCTTTAGAGGAGCAGAACTGTTTTAGGATCTAAGGAGTGTATGTGTGTTCATGTGCACACACAGCAAGTGATTTTGACAAGTGGACTTGGAAGAGCTAACTATGTTCAGACTCAGGTTTGTTAAATAGCAGTTGGGCATCTGGGCTATAGAAAACACCCGAATTATAAACCACCAGAAATAAATAAGTTTAATGAGACTTAGCTGTTCCCACCTCAGACTGTTAGTGGGACCACAGATTTGATACCCTTTTGGATAAACTTAAAATTTGAGTCATCTTTATCAACATATGTTGAAAGGTATGCTGAAAATATATGTTGAATCCAACAGTAGGAAAAAATAAAGTACTGTGAATTCATGAAGCAGGAGGAATTGATATCTTTTAATGAAGTATTTATTACTTTAACTACCAAATGATGCAGTGTAAATATACAGAGAACTTGTTTAACGTTGAAAATGAATTGGCCACATGTGTATGTTTAAAAGGTCTTTCACAAAAGGCTGGCAAGACCATCTATTCCTTATGACTTAAAAATCTTAAACTGTAATCTAGAAAGGATTAATAAATTTAATCTTAAAATTTTTCTATTTTTAAAGCTAAAATTTGATTTTTAAATTTCTCTGAGTATTTTAAAAATGTCAGTGTTTGAAGAGTATATAAGACTTAATTTTGATTCAGTTAATAGTAAATTTGAGGGCCTGTTTGTCTAGGACTGTGATCAAGATACTGATTTGCCTTTGAGACACCAATGTATTTATACATGTTTCTGAAAAAAAAAAAAATCGTGTCCAAGTTTTTGTGGTAATCACTTTCTGAAACCCTAGAGTCACTAAGTAATGTTTAGTTTTCTTTGTATGGAAGCACATTAGCTGGTCTGTGGTGATGTCTACATAGTTCATGTATTTCCTGATTATGTTGCCTTGGATCAAATGGAAACAGAAGGGCAAGAAGTAAAATAAATAAAAGTTTATAAAACACTCCTTAATAGAGACCATCTCAGATTAATCACGTCTGGAATTAAGGGTGAGATTAATATCAGAAGTTTTGTTTTACATTTTGTACATTTAACAAAACCTCTTCGGGTAATTGTTAAAAGTGCCTCACCTTAAGTATTGCTGACCTCATCTTATTTATACTTTTCAATTTGAAAGTCCAGTGAAAATAACTTCATATTTGTAAAGGATTGGACATCAGATTTATATTGTTTATGTGAATTTTCTATTACTCAGTTGATTGCATAATACAAACATTTCATAATTATTCAAATTGTAAACAGTGAGAAATGAATGTTTATAGGTAACTGTTAACATGTTTCACTACAGGAAGTTTTACAAATAAACATGCATAGTTGACATAATTTAAATTACCAATCTGAAATGCTGATGTTTCTCCTAAAACTGTGTGTGTATACACACACACATACATATATACATTTGTATATGTGACACTGAATTTTTCAAATGAATAGGAAGAGCATTTAAGAAATGTAACCCTAGTTATTGTAACTGAAACCATCCATAGCTAGTATTTCTTGAAAACAGACAATAGGTTTATTGTTTGTCAGACATAGCAAAAACCAAAACCACGAACAACTCACAAAACTTTTCTCTTGATTTCACTTACATTTTGCATCAGGATGCATTATCTGGTATGATGAAATATAGCCTATCTATAATAGAAACAAAAATATTTCAGTGCGGAGTCTGTCACCCTGAGGCTGAGGGCAGAAGTGCAGACAGGCTGCCATACTCATGCCTGTGGCAGACATTTATGGTCCATTTTGACCAAATTTTCCCCGAGGCTTGCATTGTGTTCTCGAAACTACTTAATCTGTGAGTTGAAAACTGTCTGCTATGTCTCAAGGCTGGAGGGTGAATACTACATACTGAAGGAAAACTGAGGAATATTGTGTTCACTTAGATCTAACACCGATTTTTAGAAGTGGAAGTCTGTACTTTAGAAAGTTTGCCAAACACATTGTGTTTTGTAATATTCATATAGCATGTTTGTTACGTAAGTGATTTTAACGTACAAATATTTTATTCCTTCACTAAGTCTATTGCCTATGGCAGAATATTGATGTCATCTTAAGCATCTTTTCACTTCAGATTGTTTTTAGATTGATTTTTTATTTTTTAAAATGTATTTTTAAAATTTTTATCGACATATAGTTGATCTATAATGTGTTAGTTTTAGGTGTATAACGGTATCAGTTACGCATATATCCATTCTTTTTATTCTTTTTTAATTTTTTTAGATTTTTTAAAAAAAATTTTTAGATTTCTTCTTAATGTGGGCCGTTTTTTCAGTCTTGATTGAATTTTTTACAGTATTGCTTCCATTTTACATTTTGGTTTTTTTCCCCAGAGGCATGTGGGATCCTAACTCCCTGCCAGAGATCGGGGATTGAAGCCACACCCTCTGCATTGGAAGGCCAAGTCTTAAACACCAGACTGCCTGAGAAGTTCCCACTTTCAGATTCTTTTCACATACAGGCCATTACGGAGTATTGAGTTACCTGTCATTAGTTATCTGTTTACAGTAGTGTGTATACGTCAAGCTCAATCTCCCAACTTAACCCCTTTTCCTTTACCCCCCAGTAAACGTGACATCTGTTTTCTGCATTGTTTTATTTTTAGATCAGTACTTTTAAAAAATATGCCCTACCTTGATAAGATTAAGTGGGCAGAGTGGTGATTTTACAGGTTAATAAGGTTACTTTTAAATTGGTCCATGCCAAATTAAGAATTGGAGAAGGTGGAACTAGGTCCATAAGATCACTTTATTATTTGTATATTCTACTAAAATTGTACACAGCTTGGAATAATATTAAAATCCCTATTATTACCCTAAACGTGCCAGGGTATTTCTCTGAGGAAGTTTTATTTACAAATTTTATAAATTGAACAGGCCAGATTTATTTGTGAAGCATGATTTACTGCTTATACTGGGATGTGCATTTGAGATACTGACATTGTGCTACTCGGGAGCAGGATCCTTGAAGTTTGACACTCTGCCCCTCCTACTTGTAAGCTGTGTCATGTTGAGCAAGTAGTTTAGGAGCTTTAATTTCCTCTTTGAGTAAAAATGGGTCAAAACACTACTTCTTAGGCTCGTTAGGAAGATGAAATGTGTGTCACTTCGATCTGGAACAAGGATAAGGCGTAGTCTTCCCTACCCCGTACCTCCATCCTCGGTCTTTGCTAAGCAGGGTGCGCAGCCTCCTTACTGTCTCCTTGCCTCTGACCTGGCGTCCACCACGTGTCCTCCACACGCCTGCTAGTCTGCCTGTGGATTTCTTCCCGTGGGCCCTCCCCAGCCTTCCCTATCCCCCGACGCCCACCTGCTTCCCCTTGGTGATGCACGTTACTAGCAGTTACCAGAGTGTGCTCTGATAACTGATGCCTGCCTCTGACCTAATTTGTTCCCCTGTCCAGTTCCTGCTTATCTATAAGGCTCAGCAAAAGAGAAACGGGAAGAAGCTAGCGCTGGTGATGTATGCCGCCTCTGCTGCGTAGCACCTGTGGCCATGTCTTCCTGGTCCAGAGCAGGAAGTAGTTAATTATTAGTAGTCTTATTTACATGCTTATGAGCAGTAATGCAAGGACTTGTCCCTAGTGCCAAACTAAAGTTGCTTTGATCTCTGTCATCAATAACTGAACAAATTCTCAGTTTCCAAGAGGAGATGCTTGAGGTAAACCTGAGAGACTGTAGGAATTTGCACTTTAGCAAGGTAAGGAAGGGAATTTAGCAGAAGCAAGGAACTGTGGTGCTGGACAAAGTCCCTTGGACAGCCAGAAGATCAAACCAGACAATCTTAAGGGAAATCAACCCTGAATACTCGTTGGAAGGACTGATGGTGAAGCTGAAGCTCCAGTATTTTGGTCACTTGATGCGAACAGCTGACTCATTGGAAAAGTCCCCGATGCTGGGAAAGATTGAGGGCAGAAGGAGAAGAGGGCATCAGAGGATGAGATGGCTGGATGGCATCATCAACGCAATGGACATGAACTTGGGCAAATTTGGGGAGATTGGTTGGGGACAAGGAGGCCTACTGTGCTGCAGTCCATGGGGTCGCAAAGAGTTGGACACAACCGGGCAACTGAACAACAAGGAATAAACGCGTGCTGTGTACATAAAAGGACTGAGATGAGGGAGGAGATGAAGCTGGAAGCACAAGAAGAAACCATAGCAGGAAGCTCCTCTTGTGAGAGATCAGGCTGTCATTCGTTTATGGGAGGAGGGAAGAAGAGGGAGGAGTCCATAGTGCCTTGAACACATGTAGTAGGAAGACTGATTCTTAGGAAAAAGCAAGTTGGGGAGGGAAGAGAAATACAGCTTGGAGTACAATATTGCCTCGAGCAACAGATGCTTTTTTCTTGGATTTCATGTGGAAATGTCTATTAGGTACATTGAGTGTGTAACTGATCCCAGGTCCAGCTGCTCACCACTCAACAGCTGATAAAGAGGCCAGGACACTGCAATGGAAAGTTTGTTTTGATGCCAGCAACCAGGGGTGGTGGGGGAACACCTGTCCAAAGGCCAACTCACCCGCCACTGACAATCAGTGGGCACGAGATTTTCTAGGCTGAAGGAGGGGGCTACAGGCCAAAACAGTACAGTCAGCTCTGACAGTCATCCTGAAGTTGGTCATTGGTGATCTGACTGGCATCATCTTGATTAAGTACAGTGAATCTTTCAGTTCCAGCGTCGGTTTGTTTCCATTTCTTGAGGCCAGCTCTCAAAATTGTGGCAGCTTATATCATGGCTACAGTCTGGTCATCATGGCATTAATTTCTCCATTTGGT